CTAATGATGTAATGTATGGTGATTAACATAACATAATAAAATAAAATAAAGATGCCAGCTGGGGCTGGAGACACCTCCCAGATGAGGCCGCCTGAGATGTCAGTTTTCCAGAAGAGCCACAGTGGCTATGCCAGGCAGGTCTGCCTTAAAAAGACAATGGGGACAGAACACTGAGATCTGTCAGGTTTCAACAGCCTTACGTGTCTTCTCTTCTACTTCAAACACTCGATGTTGGCTAAATATTATTACTATATGTTATTAGTATTTTTGTGTAACGTAGTATTTGCTTTATATTCCAGTTGCCTCTTTTATAGAGTTTGCCAAGGAAAGGAGCCTTTCAGAGAAAGAGAAGACATAGACAGCTGAATTTCTTTGTTTTGAATTGTTCTAGATTAAAACCGGGCCACCGGTGACATAGGGCCGGCCAAGCGAACTTGCAGCCTGACAAAAGCCTTCACGGGCTGTTTGTAGGGATGCACTGAGAAAATTGTGGAAAGCCGCTAGTACGGGGCCGGGTGCATAGGAAGTGTTCAACAAATGGTAGTTTTTATTGTTAATAAAATGAATCTATGCAGTGTTCCTGTGTCAGGGAGGTGAGTCCCACAGCTAAGTGTGAGCAACATCCTGAAATAGGACAAGAAGCGTATTCGTTGTAAGGCTCTTCCGGGGCATCCATGTGCCCAAGCATTCCAGAATGTGCTTGGGTCCCTGGGTGCCCTGACGGCGATGGGACAGGACATTGGAGCATTGGTCCTATGCTACCTGCCACCGTGCTTGCAAAATGCGAGGTTGACCTCCTGACCCGCATCATCCTTAGGGGTGTTCAGGCTGGTAAAGAATGAACACCCTGTCCTATCATCGGTTTTTATTTGTATTATTTTGCACCAAAGGTAGTGACTCCCTGAAGCTCTTCCCCTTAGCCGGTCTCACCAGCGTTTTCGTCTAAACTCTCCCGGTATCTTGTGTCCTTCCTGCCGGTTTCTCCCAGAAGCTCTCCTCCGAGTGGAAACCAGAGATCCGGCTCCCGTCTGGCAGTGACCACGTCATGCTCAAGTCCCTGGACTGGAATGCTGAGTATGAGGTCTACGTGGTGGCTGAGAACCAGCAGGGCAAGTCCAAGGCGGCTCACTTTGTGTTCAGGACCTCGGCCCAGCCCACGGCCATCCCAGGTATGACCGCCTCTGCTTTCTGTGAGTTTCCCGCTTCGAATTAATGCACAGTGCTGCACCTCCTAATGTGCCTGAACAGCCCCTGACAACTTGCTTGCTTCCAGCCATCCTCATGATTGGTTGCCCATGCAAAGCTTAGTTTTGCTTTGTACCTACCTGTGCAGTGGGTTGAGATGTACTGGACCCCCAGGAAGGCTTGGCCAAGCATCCTGGGGCAACGGTCCTGTGTCATTCAGCCCTGAAGGACTGATGCTAAGCCAGTCCGTGGGAGCCCTCAGATGGGAAAAACCCAGCTCCAGCCAAGCCTTGGCGGCTGGTTGAGTAAGGATCTTTTGTTGAGACCTTATCTACCCTCTGCCATTTCATACAAGGACCACCTAATTGTTTTGAAGCGCTTTCTATTTGATGCTTGCTTACTGCACAATCATGGTCCAGATCTCTTCTCTGTGGGGACCCCAAGAGAAGGAAGAGACGGTGCCCGGTTAGTTAAAAATCCTATCTTCCAAGGGCCTCTCCACTGCAACAAAGATTAAATTGAATCGCTTGAAACAGGGCGAGTGGAGAAAGGGGACGTTGACAAACCCCATCCATGAAAGGCAGTCCAGTCTGCTGGAGACCGTGTCGGGAGTGCTTCTCCTAGGAGACGCAGACCTGTCTCTAGGGATCCAGGACCAACTCAAGTGTGGGAACAAAGGGAGAGTTCTGCTTGCTGGCCCAGCCCCCTTGCCACTGATGGTTAGTCTCCTCATTGATCAAACCTTCAGAGCAGAAAGTGATCTTCAATACCGCTCTGTCCTTTTCCAGATCAGCCAAGTGCCAGCCACAGGCAGGAGAGGGGGACATACACCATATAGCTGCAGCCTGTTGAAAGGGGGCCCCATAAACTCTGTGCTGTGTTCAAGCATGGTAGGAAGATGTTCCAGTCTCCCAGCTGCCTTGATGTGGCCCCGTCATGGCTGTCCTGTCTCTGATGCTTGCCTGGGCGCTCTGCTCAGTTGTCACAATAGCGCCTCCCAGCAGGAGGGAGACCAGAAAGGAAGGCTTGGCCGAGCATCCTGGGGCAACGGTCCTGTGTCATTCAGCCCCGAAGGACTGATGCTAAGCCAGTCCGTGGGAGCCCTCAGATGGGAAAGGAAGGCTGCCTAGGACATGGGCCTGCATGTGCGCGAGTCGGTTAGGGAAACAACAAAGTGAGACCGGTGTGTGGTTCCCGATGGTTGAGTGTGCATGAATGTGTGTGTCTGACAGACATGTGGGGGCCTCCAGGGAGCTGGCAGGTGGGTCTTCAACCAGAGGACACACGGCCATTGGTCCTACCCTCCGCATTGTCAGGGAGGCCCCTTAGTGCACATGGGCAGCAGTGAAGACAAGGCCCCTGGGCGTGGCTGCAAGTGTTCTCACTACTGCTTAGCACCGTGTCCAGAGGTAGCCCCCCAATCTGTGCCCCTTCTCTGTGTTCTTTGGCCCGTTTTTCACTGAAATCGACAGTCTGGAGTGTGTCTGGTTCTGCTCAGCCTTTATGGGACATGTAGGAGGTGGGGGAGGGACAGGCTTGAGTCACCCCTTTCCAGCACGAGAGTTCCGACAGCACCTGTTGCCTGGCCTAAGCAACATAGGCAGGTTGCTTGGACACGCTGCAGTCACGTGCCGAGTGCTGCCCCCAGCATCAGCCGGTGGGGTTGGAGCAGTTGGGGACCCTGTGAGTCAGATCTAGAAATAGGAGACCTTGTCCCCCAGGGTCCTGCCCGGCAGAGATGTCAGAGTCCTTCTCATTAAGCCCGCAGGTGCCCAGGGAAGCCGGAGAGGGTTGAAGGGACGGCTCACCTCACCCACAAGGGCTCGGTGGCTCTACCACATGCATTTCAGGAGGAGGTGGCTCTGAGCTTGGTTGGACTCTCCTGGCCATGGTGTTGGGACCTGTGTACAAAACCTGCGAATTTCAAGATGTGCGTTCATGGTGGGATTCTGTGGTCAGCAGGGTGGCAGGAGGTGAGGGGCGCAGACTAGTTTGTCTTGAACAGCGTGGGGGGGCGGATTGTGGCGCCCGAGGAGGAGGAGTCCGACCTATCACTGAGATGCTCATGGTGCATCTCACCCGCTCCGCGTAGAAAGCTCTGGAGGCTAGGAGGCTGTGGATAGGCTCGTTGACTGTTCCTAAGAGGCCTGACCTTAGTCAAAGGTAACACTCTCCTAATCACACTCTTGTATTTGACTGCAGAGGCTCTGTTCTCTCCCTTGAATTTCATTTGCTCGCTGACCCCTAACCCCCGAGTTCACCCTGCTGTGCTGCTTCTGGCCTTGCTGAGCTTCGGAACTGGCCTTACGGGAATAATACCATACTGAACTCTTCTCTAACCTTTGTCAGTTTAATTTACTAAGTTGAATTAACCTTTGATTCTTGTGTTTTCTATATTTGACCTAATTTTTTTTCTTTTTATCTATTTTTTTTTCTCTGTTTCTGTCTCTACCTTCTCTTTCCTTCTCCCCCCTCCCCCTCCTGTGTCTGTCGTCACACATCTCACCTTGGACGTCCGTCACTGGGACATCCCCACTGCCACATTTGTTTTTAAACAACCACATTCCCTCTGGGCGCCCATTGCTTGGACCTGCAGCGACCTTGGGAGGCTGCTCTGCGTCCTACACCTTTGTCTCATTGCTTCTCTCTGCAGTGACTCTGCTTTTGCTCTGTTAGGATCTTGAACACACACACACACACACACACACACAAAATTAAGTCTGCTTAATGCCCAGTTCCTCTGAGAATGATCAGTGCCCCCTCTGGAAGAACCTGTCAGGACCACCATGGCCACGCCACCAAGCACTCTGTGTGGAAGAGGAAGGTTTGGTGGCTGGAAAAAGCGGGACCTCCAGACATTTTACCATTCACAGGTCCGCTTGTGCTGCTTCACGAGGATGTTTGCCCCTTTCTAATGGCAGTATGAAAATATTTGGGAGCACTTTTCTTTAAACACTGTTTTTTTAAAAAGCATTATGCTAGGTTTACAGAGAAGTTTCTGCACATCTGCTACCTGTTGAATTTTGTTGTTGTTCTTCCCTGAAAATGATGTAGCAGAGGAAAATGTCTAAGTACCTCCCGAAGCTTGCATCAGATTGTTCGAATCACCACGTGCTCCCCACCCCGTTCTAACCCCATGCTCCTCCTCTGCCCTTCAAAAAGTAGTTGGCTTCGCTTGCATTGACATGCCCATGGTAAGAGAGCCAGACCACTGGGATGCACCCGAGCATTTTGCTAACACGATGGGCAGAGTCAGTCACCCCGTTACCCATACAGTGGAAGAAATTGGACTTGTTAGGCATTATCTGGGGCTGCTCAGATGTTCTGGGAGGCGCTTTGGTCCTGGTATTACAACGAGCAGCCCCAACAGGGCCAGCCTGTGATGCACCCAGTACCCGTCAGCTTTATGAGATGGGTGTCCCCCCAGTCGGAGTGATTCGGGCTGCCCAGCAGCGAGCCGCAGATCAGCACAGAGGCTCGTGTCGGGGGTTGTGGTCTGACAGTCTCGCATACACGTCAGTCCCCAAGTTGGAGGTATCCACCTCGAGCCAGGCACGGGTCACGCACTCCCCACCCCGCCCCCCACACACACACACTCTCACCAGAGCAGAAGGATGGGGACAGGTCACTCCTGGACTGCCCAGCCCAGGGCGTCCACACACAGCAACTCGGTCAGCCTGTCCTACTTCCCAAATGCCCCAACCCCCATAGTGGTCGGTGGCTTTAGTGACATTTTAAAAATTCTGGTGACCACCAGCTAGTCCTCTCTGCTGTTGGGGGGCACACCCCTCCGCGTGCCCAGGAGAGAGGCTCGCTAAAGTCTCGCACGGAGGCTCGGCTGGATCCTGCTCAGTACCATCTGTGCGCACTTGGGGATGGACCTTCTACTGAATAAAACCTCCCTCCCTCCATTGTGGTCACATCATTCTACATATCTCATCTCTAAACATCCCACAGAAGTTTGATTTGTTCTTTTTGTTTATTTTTTAGTTATGTTTGTTCTTGGTTGGTGTTTTTTTTTTTTCATTAATGTTTGAAGACTAGTCTTTCCCTTTGGGAATCCCAGTGATCCCGTCTGCGGGGCACAGCTGCCCATGTCGGTGGGCCCGTGTCCCCCAGCGCTCACCATTTAGAGGCTCATGCGCAGACACTGGAGGCCGCACTTTGCCCAGCAGCTCAGGCAGGTAGCGCCTCTCACCCCAGCCCTGTCTGCTCCCCAGCCCCACCTCAGATCTCTTCCCCTGGGGTCCCTACCCTGCCTTCACACCAGCGTAAGACAAGCAGGCGTGGTTCTTAGGCACAAGGCGGAGCATCGAGGAGAGATACGCGGTGCCTCCGGGCCTGGCATAAGAACCTCAGGTCAGTTAGCAAGAGCTCTGGGGAGGGTGAGGGAAGGAGGGATCTGTCCTCAAGCGAGTGACCCGTCGCTGTCCTCCCGGCTCCTGGCGTGCTCTTGATAGCATCTTGGGCAGAAGTCCTGTGTTCACCCAAAAGGGCCCATCGCGGAGGTCTGCCCCAGCCTGGTCCCATTCCCACCCACAGGGGAGGGCCAGTGTCAGTGTTTCCGAAGGGACTCTGGAGATCTAGCCCAAAGTGTAGGGAGGCCTGACACGACCCGTCTCCCCACCCCCAGCACACCCCAGGCGAGGCAGGGCCTCAGCCAAAGCTACTTTGGGGTCAATGCCGGCAGGCCCTGGTTTGTAACAGGATGCCTTTTGAGAGACAGTGTTAGGGCGCGCTCACTCCCCCCCGGACACCGTTCTCAGTGACGGCTGTGGCCCCCGGCCCCACCAGCGGTCCCCAAGGTAGCAGCCCTTCGAGACCCCCGCGGGAGGAAGCACTTGCCCCCTCGCTCAGCTGCCCCCTCCGCCGCGCCCCGTCCAGCGCTGCCACGCTCCACATGCCACGGGGTTCCTCTGCTCACTTCCGAAATACTGATACGGCAGGTTTGGATCACGTTTGTTACTAATAAGAATGCTAACAC